ATCACATTATAAATCACTCACAAAAATACACTTACTATTGGTTGAGTGTTGGGTAGCAGTTCGATTTTTGAGGTCCACTAGTATTTAAATATACAGGAAGTCCCCAACTTTAAACGGCGTTCCGCTAATACGGACATTTCAAATTATGACAAAAACTCGCTATACGGCTCCCCCCCACCTGACTTTCAAATACAGTCACGTGCCCCACCCAGTTTGTTTACATTCTCCATGACTCCGTAAGCACTAATCTCTCCATTTTGTCTGGAAACTCTGGCAAAATTTCAAATGTTTTTTTAAAGTTATTTCATATTTTATATATACTCTGATAATTATACATATGTATACCTGTACCTAAATAAACTTACATACATCGAGTCATTTAAATGTCGTTATAGTTCGTTAATATACACATTTTCATTAATCCATCCATGATATTTTTTTCAAAATTTATAATAACACATGCATAACCTATAAATAAGATAAATACACACCACAGTAGAATAAATTAAACAATAAATTGTTAGATGTGGTAGCAGACTACTTGCACAAGTTGACGTCCATATTAGAAATGATAAAATCACAATACACACCGAGCTCATTAAATGTCGTATATAGTTAATCGACACAATTTTCATTAATCCCATCCATGATATTTTTTTTCAAAATTATATAATATAAACACGATGCATAACATATAAATAAGATAAATACACCCCCACAGTAGAATAAATAAAGCCTAAATGGAGGACAGTAGATGGGTAGCAGACACTTGCACAGTGGGTGATAATAACAATACCGCCGAGTCCTCATTAAATGTCGTATATTACGGTTAATATACAACATTTACATTAATCCATCCCATGATATTTTTTTCAAAATTATATAATAAACACGAGTCATAACATAAAAATAAGAATAAAACACCCACAGTAGGAAAAATAAACAAAAAGTGAGATGTGGTAGGCAGACGACATGCACAAGTGGTGATACTAACAATATCGCCGAGTCCATTAAATGTCGAAACTTCGGTAAATATACACATTTTCATTAATACCATCCATGCTATTTTTTTTCAAAATTAAATTATATAATTAAACACGATTCATAACATATAAATAAGATAAATACACCCCACATAGAATAAATAACCATAAAATTTGAGATGTGGTACAGACTACCTTGCACAAGTGGTGATAATAACAATCCTCCGCCGAGTCTCAAAAACAAACAAAAATCATTAAAATTAATTTATTATTTTTATGTCGTATATTACGGTAATAACACATTGTTCATTAATCCATCCCATGATATTTTTTTCAAAATTATATAATAAACCACAATGCATAAGCAAAAAATAAAGATAAATACACCCCACAGAAGAATTAAATAAACAAAAATGTGAGATGTGGTAGCAACGACTTGCACAATGGTGATAATAACAATACTCGCCGAGTCTCATTAAATGACGTATAAAACTGTAATAAACACATTTTCATTAATCCATCCATTATATTTTTTTTCAAAATTATATAATAAAACACGATGCATAACAATATAACTAAGATAAAATACACCCCACAGTAGAATTAAAAAACAAATGTGATATGTGTTAGCAGACGACTTCACAATGTGACGCCATATATAAAAAAAAGACAATACTCAACGAGTCTCATTATGATGTCTGTAAATATTACTGTAATATACACATTTCATTAATCCATCCATTGATATTTATTTAAAATTATATAATAAACGCGATACATACATAAAAAGATGATAAATACACCCCACAATAGAATAAATAAACATAATATAAGATTGGGAGTCCCCTGGGTTTAGGTTTACATAACTCTGCGCTGTACCTCTCATGTACTCATTCTTTATCTCTCTCTCCATTTATTCGTTTTACTTCATTTACTTACTCCAACCCAACATTAAGACTACAAATATTTTTAAGGTAAGTAATGAGTGAACTGTAATAATACATTTTAACGCTCTGATTCCTTAAATAACATAGAATAGTATGTGTGGGTGGGGTGGCCCTGGTAAGTAGCCTGGCTATTACAAAAACATACCACACTTGATTTCTTACAATAAATACTACGGTCTCACCCTAGATTAAGACTATAAATATATAAGGTAAGTAATGAGGTGCACTATGAGTGTATTGTACCTTTTTAATTGTTTTTTGATGCCTGGTTCTATTGCTAACTTAATATATGTTAGTGAAACTTGTTATCTAGTGTTTGTAGCATTTATAAGTGGGAAAAACAAGGGTGTTCCACTTTAATCGGCGATTTCCAGCTTTACGGCGGTAGCCTGGAACCTAACCTGCCGTAATAATGGGGCCCTCCTGGTAAATGTTGCAGTTTAAAAACTGTAGTTGTAAAGCACACTTCCGGCAAGACATTGGATGGAGTGAATGATGGTGAAAGTTTTTTCACAAGACCCATGGTTAGAAAACAGAAATTTGGCCAAATACTAAGAAATTGCAAATAAGCATGAGATAACTGCCACCACAGGGAAGTAAACATTATTACTGCTTACCACTGTGCCAACTAGCAGAAGCAATCTGAATTATTACATATGTATTATGACATATATTATTATTATTAATGTTTATTTAATTTAGGGAACTTAAGCTCTATCTTTAATAATAATACGTATATGCCATTAGAATGAATTGCTGCACAATTTTATGAAACACATTGCATAATTAATTTAACATTATTATTTGTGGGAAGGAAAAACATTGCACCTTTTGCTCAAGCTGCCACCTGATGTGTATCGGCCAGGGAGCCCCCCCACCATCCCCCTACTACTGCCCCTCCCACAATGCCCAGCATTCATATCAACTGTCCACCAGGGTCTTTCTCTTCTACAGGCAGCTGTGTTTGTCAATTGTGTAATGAAATATTTTTAATTACTATATCTTGTATCTGGCCCAAGCAATCAGACACCCAGTAGCCACACAGTGTTGCTGAAAAAGCAACGAAGAGTTTAAGCACTATAAGTCTTAGAAGTAACAAAGATAATAGACAAGAGAAAACTTGTAGTCGTAACGAAGTGTTACTTTGTACACTGAAAAAGACATTAACATGAGTTTGTGACAGACTGAATGACTGACTTACTGAGTGACTTGACTTACTTACTGAATGACTTGACTGACTTACTGAGTGACTTGACTGAATGTCTTGACTGACTTACAGAAAGACTTAACTGACTTACTTGAGTGACGTGACTGACTATCTGAATGACTTAATGACTTACTGAATGACTAGACTGACTTTACTGAATGAATTGACGACTTACTGATGAACAAGACTGGACTTACGGAGGCACATGACTGACTGAATGACTTTACTGGCTTTAATGACAACTTACTTACTGAATGACATGACTGACATAGCAGAGTGACCTGACTGCTACTGAATGACTTGACAGACCTTTAGAGATACTTGACTGACTTAACTGATGACTTGACTGACTGAATGATTTACTGACTGGACTTACTGACCTTACTGAATGACTTGAACTGACTTACTGAGTGACTGACTGACTGACTGAGTGATTGACTGTAATATTAAATTATATTTATTGCTGTAGTAGAAAAAGATATTATTTCCATGGAAATAAAGATGAAATCATAGATGAACAAGCAGATTACCCAGGTATTTGGGTTTGAGTGGGGAAGAGGGATTTGGGAGCTGGCTCGTAGCTCATAGGCAAAACACTCGTAAGTTGTGGACACTCGTAAGTCAAGGTTTCCAACTGAGATATAAATATATATATATATATAAATAAATAATATATAATATATATATAAATATATAATATATATATATAAAAATATATATATAAATAACTATATACATAATATATCTATATATATATATAAATTATATATATATAAAGAGATGATAAATGATAAATATATATAATATACATATATATATATATACAAAATATTATATATAAATATATATATAAAAATAAATATATAAATCTAAAAAAATAGTATATATAAAGAAACATTAGTAGGTTGGTAGACAGCAACCAACTCGCCAGGTAGGACTGACCGTCCTGCCATGGAGGAGTAAAACGAAAGCCTGTGAATTTGTTTTACCATGAAGGTAGGATTGCTGATGTCTTTTGTCTGTCTCATAAATATGCAAGATTACAGGCATGACTTCGGCTACTTCTTCTGTTTCTACTTGTACACTTAGGTGTTCGGACATGTAGAGAGAATGGAGCGAAACAGAATGATTTCCCAAGAGTGTATCAGTCTGTAGTGGAAGGAAGGCGGGGTAGGGGTCGGCCTAGGAAAGATTGGAGGGAGGGGGTAAAGGAGGTTTTGTGTGCGAGGGGCTTGGACTTCCAGCAGGCGTGCGTGAGCGTGTTTGATAGGAGTGAATGGAGACGAATGGTTTTTCAATACTTGACGTGCTGTTGGAGCGTGAGCAAAGTAACATTTATGAAGGGGTTCAGGGAAACCGGCAGGCCGGACTTGAGTCCTGGAGATGGGAAGTACAGTGCCTGCACTCTGAAGGAGGGGTGTTAATGTTGCAGTTTAAAAACTGTAGTGTAAAGCACCCTTCTGGCAAGACAGTGATGGAGTGAATGATGGTGAAAGTTTTTCTTTTTCGGGCCACCCTGCCTTGGTGGGAATCAGCCAGTGTGATAATAATAAAAAAAAATACATATAAAATATGCAGTAACTTTAAACACTTGAAATTTTGGAAAGTTTCCTGACATAATAGATGTGGTCACGGAAAATGTAAACAAACCGGGTGGGGGCGCCGTATTTGAAAGACCACTTGCCGTATAGCAAATTTTGGTCATAATTTGACATTGCCGTATTAGCAGAACGCCGTAAGGTGAAACGCCGTAAAGTGGGGCCTTACTGTATATATTACACACACATACAAATAAATACATATATACATTCATATACACCTTTACTAATATTGCATTATTTTCTTTTGCAGTTCATCACTCACAGATGAATATACTTACAGTACCAGAAACCAGTACCATCCGTGGCAGCACTCAGTACAATGCATTAATGCTAGTTGCATATATACTGGGGAAATAGTATCAGTACTTAGTATCATAAGTGGCAACACCTAATACCATAAGTGCCAGCACCCAGCACTTTGATGTAAGTGGCAGCTATACATCAGATATTGTGTCGACAACATGGTAATGTTATCCACATTATCGTAAATACATCATGAATGTCTAGTTGTTTACATTTGTATCATAAATCTTGCCACATTTTTCTGTAAATTACATAAGTTCATTTATTGAACTACTGTACTTATGTTCTTCTTTTAGCACATCGGCTGTATCCCACCGAGATAGTGCAGAACTAAGAAGAAGAAGCACTTTTACCATCACTCATGTCATCACTGTCTTGCCAGAGGTGCACTGACATTACAGCCCCTAGATGCCTCTCCAAACTACAGTATCTCCACCCCTTCTTTAGAGTACAAGCACTGTACTTCCTACCTCCACCCATCCTTGAGAGTACAGGCACTGTACTTCCCACCTCCACCCATCCTTGAGAGTACAGGCACATTACTTCCCACCTCCACCCCTCTTGAGAGTACAAGCACTGTACTTCCCACCTCCACCCATCCTCGAGAGTACAGGCACTTACTTTACCTTTATTACATCTAAGAATACAGCATTAGTACTTCCCACCTCCACTGTTTGAGATTAGATCTTGTAGTTACACTTTATTGAAATAAACACTGCTTCTTATTCCCATTTTAAGGGATATTTTCATTACTCTAAAAGTCATTGTATATTTATTACTGTTAATTAATATTTTGGGATTTTTTTAATGAATGCAAAACATTATTGATAAAACTTGTTATTTTCTAATGAAATAATGTTAACAGTGGATTTTAGTTATGTAATAATATTTAGGTTTCTTTTAATGATATGCAAAAAATTAAATGATATGATTATGCTAAAATAAATGTATAGTGATAATTTTTTAAGTGTAATTTTCCCAGTTTTCAGTTGTATACAAAAATATTAATGAGCATTTGTATTATTTCCCTTATTTCATATTATAAGTGAGTAAGTTGTATCTCTATTATTTCTTTCGTTATTAAGTAAATTTTTTAAATATCCATATTATTTCCTTCTATATTCTTCATGAGGGGTCATTCTTTTTTCTTTCTTAAGTTGTTACAGTACATTTCTATCTTCTTCATGATCGGGTAAGGTGTCTTTGTTATCTTAGTGTACAGTACCTTCTTCTTCATGATTGGGTAAGGTGTCTTTGTTACCTAGTGAACACAGATAAAAATATTTATTACAGTGGACCCTCTAATTTCGTGATTAATCTGTATCGACCGAATTCAGAGGGAAATCACAAAAGTAGAGGCTATATAGAGGCTACATTTTGATGAAAAAAGTTGCCGATAATCGAGATTCATGAAAATAGAGACTCACAGAATTAGAGGTATTACTGTAATTATATTTTTCTCTTGAACATATTTTAGTATTGTTTTTTAATCATGATTATCTTACAGTATGTTTAGCTGTCTTTATAATATTCTGCTTTTAAATGTATTTACCTATCTTTATGATGTGTGATGCTTTTAATATATATTCATCTTGATGGTGTGTGATGCTGTTAATGAATACACTCATGTTGATGCTGTGTTGTAATGTATATATTCATTTAAATGCTGTGTACTGTTGCTAATCATAATGTTAATTACTTGTTGCTTACATTTTTACTATAAGAATATTGAAAAATTAAGATTACTTGAGTGAATTATTTATGAACATGTATCACTACATTGCCCATTACTAAATAAAATTTGATTATACATTGCACACTCACTGCAAAAAGGACATTATATGTGGCCATTCCAATGAAAGTTAGAAAATAAATTTTCTTTTCAGGAATAATAAATTTTATACCTTTAAAAGATTTGAAAATTATTTATTTCAAAACAAAAGATAGTTTTTATGCTAAGTAAGAGACAATATTCATGTTGTCAGTGTCTAGTTGACCTTTCTCACAAATATTCTCCATTTAAAAATTTTGGAATACATGTAATGTATATGAGTTCATTAAACTGAAAAAAATATCAGTATTCACTATCTAAATGACTTTCCAGATGAATAATATGATGAATATTGTAAAACTTCCGTCAGGGAGAAACTCATACCAGTGTTCAGAGTGTCTAAAATTTTTTTCACGGAAATCAATTCTGATACAACATGTGAGAGTTCATACACAAGAAAGACCATATCAGTGTTCAGATTGTGTAAAGAAATTTAAACAGAAATCAGCTTTATTACAACATGAGAGAGTTCATACACAAGAAAAACCTTATCAGTGCTCACAGTGTCTAAAATCTTTTTCACATAAATCGTATCTAGTACAACACACTAGAGTTCATACACAGGAAAAACCATATCAGTGTTTGGAGTGTTCCAAAGGTTTTTCACAGAAATCAATTCTAATACAACACACGAGAGTTCATACACGAGAGAAACCATATCAGTGTTCAGAGTGCCTAAAAGGCTTTTCACGAAAAACATCTCTAATACAACACACTAGAGTTCATACACAGGAAAAACCATATCAGTGTTCAGAGTGCTTAAAAGACTTTTCACGAAAATCTCATCTAATACGACACATGAGAGTTCATACACAAGAAAAACCATACAAGTGTTCAGAGTGTCTAAAAGACTTTTCAGATAAATCAAATCTTATACAACACATTCGAGTTCACACACAAGAAAAACCATACCAGTGTTCAGAGTGTTTAAAAGATTTTGCACATAATTCGCATTTAGTTCAGCACATGAGAATTCATACACAAGAAAAGCCATACAAGTGTTCAGAGTGTCTTAAAGACTTCTCAAGAAAGTCACATATTGTACAACACATGAAAGTACATACACAAGTAAAATCATATCAATGTTCTGGGTATTTTAAAGGCTTTACCAAAATTATGTCTAGTACAATGCCTGGGAATTCATTTAGCAGAAAATTCCCTTCAAAAGGGGTTGCTTTATGATGGTAATGGGCTCTAGATCCAAGGAATTGGAACTACCCTCTAATTTCTTAGAATGAACCTGATTGTCTCCATCCTTCCCATTCTCCAAGTGGTGTATAATTTCTAAAGGTTTAGTGCTGCCCTAAAAGAGTAATAATATGATTACTGAATGTTTACAGAAGGTATTTTGAAGTGCTTCTGAGGATTACTTCTTTCAAGGGAAGTGTTTTAGCACCTCTTGGATAAAACCTAAATGCCTCCTATTTCCCAAATACTGTAGGACCACTACAGGACTAGTGCTTCTTTTTTCCTTTTTCAACAACGGCAGTATCCCACCGAGACAGGGTGACCAAAAAAAAAAAAAGAACGAAAGTTTTTCTTTTTAAATTTAGTAATGTTACTATCCCCTTGCTCCTGACATTAGTGCTTCTTATAAATAAAATTATAATATTTGAATCATCAATCCTAACTGGACTAAATACAATGGAACCTAGTCTTACAAGTTTAATTTGTTCGTGACCTAGCTTGTAACTCAGTTTACTCGTATATCAAATCAGTTTTCCTCATTTAAATTACAATTGAAAAGCCATTAATCCATTCCTGCACTCTGGAGAAAAGACAAAATACTTGAATATGACACTAATGTCAACTGTACAGCTTATTTATCTATCACAGTTCATCTAATATGACATAATAAACAATATAATTAACACAGAAACATGATATATACTCTTGAATAAATAAAATAGGCCATAATATAGTAGCAGAGGCAATGGCAGAAGTGTCTGCCATTTCCTGTATAACTTTGACTATAGTAGCTTCCCATGCTCTTATTGTAAGAGAAAATGGAGTGTTTGTGAGGCTAATTACACAAATATCATATATAAAAACACTTCACAGACACGCACATGCATATATATATATACATACATCTAGGTTTTTCTCCTTTTTCTAAATAGCTCTTGTTCTTTTTTATTTCTTCTATTGTCCATGGGGAAGTGGAAAAGAATCTTTCCTCCGTAAGCCATGCGTGTCGTATGAGGCGACTAAAATGCCGGGAGCAATGGGCTAGTAACCCTTCTCCTGTATACAATTACTAAAAAGAGAAGAAGAAAAACTTTATAAAACTGGGTTGCTTAAATGTGCGTGGATGTAGTGCGGATGACAAGAAACAGATGATTGCTGATGTTATGAATGAAAAGAAGTTGGATGTCCTGGCCCTAAGCGAAACAAAGCTGAAGGGGGTGGAGAGTTTCGTGGGGGGAAATAAATGGGATAAATCTGGAGTATCTGAGAGAGTTAGAGCAAAGGAAGGGGTAGCAGTAATGTTAAATGATCAGTTATGGAAGGAGAAAAGAGAATATGAATGTGTAAATTCAAGAATTATGTGGATTAAAGTAAAGGTTGGATGCGAGAAGTGGGTCATAATAAGCGTGTATGCACCTGGAGAAGAGAGGAATGCAGAGGAGAGAGAGAGTTTTGGGAGATGTTAAGTGAATGTATAGGAGCCTTTGAACCAAGTGAGAGAGTAATTGTGGTAGGGGACTTGAATGCTAAAGTAGGAGAAACTTTAGAGAGGGTGTGGTAGGTAAGTTTGGGGTGCCAGGTGTAAATGATAATGGGAGCCCTTTGATTGAACTTTGTATAGAAAGGGGTTTTAGTTATAGGTAATACATATTTTAAGAAAAAGAGGATAAATTAAGTATACACGATATGAGTAGGGCGAAATGACAGTAGTTTGTTGGATTATGTATTGGTAGATAAAAGACTGTTGAGTAGACTTCAGGATGTACATGTTTATAGAGGGGCCACAGATATATCAGATCACTTTCTAGTTGTAGCTACACTGAGAGTAAAAGGTAGATGGGATACAAGGAGAATAGAAGCATCAGGGAAGAGAGAGGTGAAGGTTTATAAACTAAAAGAGGAGGCAGTTAGGGTAAGATATAAACAGCTATTGGAGGATAGATGGGCTAATGAGAGCATAGGCAATGGGGTCGAAGAGGTATGGGGTAGGTTTAAAAATGTAGTGTTAGAGTGTTCAGCAGAAGTTTGTGTTACAGGAAAGTGGGTGCAGGAGGGAAGAGGAGCGATTGGTGGAATGATGATGTAAAGAGAGTAGTAAGGGAGAAAAAGTTAGCATATGAGAAGTTTTTACAAAGTAGAAGTGATGCAAGGAGGAAGAGTATATGGAGAAAAGAGAGAAAGTTAAGAGAGTGGTGAAGCAATGTAAAAAGAGAGCAAATGAGAGAGTGGGTGAGATGTTATCAACAAATTTTGTTGAAAATAAGAAAAAGTTTTGGAGTGAGATTAACAAGTTAAGAAAGCCTAGAGAACAAATGGATTTGTCAGTTAAAAATAGGAGAGGAGAGTTATTAAATGGA